CAAGACCCCAGGTGTAAATTTTTAAATTTTACACCTAAATAAAATCCACCAGAATTTCTGGAAACTGAATATGCATTAGGCATACTAGGCTTTTCCTTCGAGGATTAGGATGATACCATTCCTTCCCAGCTTTCCCAGCCTGGAGAATGCCACCCCATAGTGACAGGCAGATACTGCTCGCAGAAGCTAGAGGAGAGAGCCTGGGCTGCTAATAAAGTGGTTACCTTTGCCATTTCCTTACTATTGTGACCTTAAACAAGTCATTTCCCTCTTTTGGGCCTCAGCTTCCCCCTTGTGTAAAATTAGGGAGGGAAGGAAGGAGACACTGTTGTCTCTAAGATCCCTTTTAGCTATAGCAGCCTGTGATTCTTGTCTGACTCCTTTCTCTATCTCCTTTTTCCTAGCAGTTTCCCAGTAACCTTGGGCAGGTAATGTGCCTTCAGAGGACCTGTTTTCTGTTTATAAAATAAGGGTAATAATGTGGACATTTCTATACAAAAATGGTTTAGTAATTTATCCCATGGTCCATTTTGAGGACCATAGTGCAATTTTACAGGGGTTTAAGAATGGCCCCCCTGGGTCACCGCATAGTGAATCCAGGTCAGTCACAGGAGTGACAGCAATGGTGACAGTAATCCATCTTCCCTGCCACCTTTCTCTGAGCCTCCCTTCCTTTTCTGCCTGGCTCTCCTCCACATGCAATCAGGGTGGCCTCCCCAAAACACAGTTCTAGTCCTGTAAATCCCTTGCACAAATACCTTTAATAACTCCCCACGGCAGTCATGAAGGCAGTTGGAATACAAAAGGAAGGGAAGGATGTAAGAAAGATTGTGCAGATCAAATTATAGGAACTGGCGACTGATATTATGTGCAGTCAAGCTCTTGCTGGTTATGCTGTGCCCTGGCTCAGAACTGAAATATAATATCACAATGGGCTCCTGATGGTGTGGATTGCTCCAGGCATATCTAGGCCAACGCGGAAAAGCAAGTGAGATGCCAAGAGGACACTGGAATCAGCTTTCTTTTTTTGTTCCCCTAAAGCGACACCTTCGAAAAGCCTTGGCATTTTCCCTGGTTAAGAAAAGCCTCTCCTAAAGGCTTCAGAGAAGCTCCTCCCCTCTCTGCTGGAAAATTTCAGCTGCTCCCCACTGGATTCTGACGTTAGCATTCTTCCCAGATCTGACTGCAGTGTTGACTGTCACGATGAAAGTCTGTGCATTTGACCACAGGTGTAGTGGGCTCTGAAGAAGAGAGAGCCATGCCCCTGCCCCTTGATAGTGGTCCCTAGCAGATGGCATCTCACTCATAGCAAAGTCTAGGACCCTGGGGTGGACACCACCTTTAAGAGCTTTAGGAATGCAGAGGCTGCAGTGGAAAATTCCCTGCATTGGGGGTCAGAAGGTCTGGATTTTAGGTCCTAGGAACTGTCCTGTCCGGCTGTGTGATGCTGGGGGACTTTTTAAATCTCTCCGGGCTTCATATTCTTCCTCTGCAAAGATGAAGAACTGGGACAAAATCATCTCTAAATGCGGTCCTGTTCTAAAATTCTAAAATAGTAATTCATTGCATGTTGTCTCTGCCAGGCCCTGTGCTAGATATGAGGAATATAAAAAATGAAAATAGTATTAACAGTTAATATTTATTGAGTGTTTAAATATACACCATGGATTGTATTAACCACTTCATATACAGTGTTTTCTTCAGTTGTTGGAACACCCTTGTGAGATCAGGCCTGTCATCAATATTACCGGCCTTATGAAAGGACTATTTCTTATTCCTCCTCTGCTTCCTTAGATTGGGTCACTGCTCTCATAGATTGACCTGGAGAGCAGTGATCTAAGAGAACCATTCCAGGTGCTCTGCCACTCGGCTGTTGGCCAATAGACAGGGATGACTTAAGACATATAAATAGAGGCATTTCCCCTGTTTTTCTTAAACAATTTCTACCAAATAGCAAGACTTCTTATAAATCTCTGATAATTAGGATAGTGTGGTATTGGCTCAAGGATAGACAAATATCCTAATGGAACAGAATAAAAAGTATAGAAACAGACCTACATATCTATGGACACTTAGTATATGACAAAGGTGACACTGCAGTGCAATAGTACTAGGTCAGTTGGCCTGATGACCATGTGGGAACAAAATGGCTCTTGACTCCTATTTCAAACTATACACAAAAATCACTTAAAAATGTTTTGTAGATCTAAATGTTAAAATAATCAAATTATTAGAAGATGACATACAAGAATAGCTTCATGATCTTAAGGTAGATGAAGATTTCTTAAACAGGACACAAAAATCAGCATAACCATAAAATAAAGAATACATTGAATTACATTAAAAACAAGAACTTCTGTTCATCAAAATGTACCATTAGGGTTGGCCGAGTGGCACGTTGGTTAAGAGTTGGCTTGGGACGCCAGCTCTGAGCAGCAGGGCCCGGTTCCGATCCCACATGAGGGCCAGTGACGCTGTGCCCTCTACAGATAAGATGGTGAACAACAGCTCAACCTGGAGCTGGGCTGCTGTGAATTGCCGGTGATGGCGTTGGCTGCAGTCCCTGCTGCAGTGGGCTGCCGCGAGCTACCATGAATGGCTGGCAGCCAGTGTGAGCCACTGTGAGCAGCCATCCAATGCTGGCAAACGACTGCCTCCCCCTGGAAGAGCACAATGATAATACTAATATGGGCCAGTGAAGCAACGTCCTCCACAACTAGACTGAAGAACAAAAGGACAGCAATTTTTCTGTTCCCCTTCCCCAATTCCCTGACACTGTTCCCCTCCCCCAATTCCCCAATAAAATCTTAAAACAAAAAAAAATGCACCATTAAAAAGTGAAAAGGGGAGCTACAGAGAGGGCAAAGATATTTGCAGCATGTATATTTAACAAAGGATCATTATCAAGAATATAGAAAGAACCTCTTCAAATCAATAAGAGCAAGGCAGATGAGATGATCCAATCTAAAAAATGGGCAAAATACTTGAATAGGCAGGTTACAAAAAAGAACATCCAAACGCCAGTAAACATATGGGAAGGTGCTCAGGCTCAGTAGATTTCAAGGAAATGCGAGTTAAAACCCCAATTCATTACCACTTCATACCAACCAGAATGGCTAAAACAATCAAACCAGAGAACCTGACTATACTGTTTCATGAGTGTTCACAAGAATGTAGGGCAATGAGAACTCATTTACTCTGGTGGAAGTCTAAATTGGAAACCACTTTGCAAAACTGAGAGTATTTATTAAAGATGAACATATGCATGCTCTGTAAGAGTAGTTCAGGTTCTGGGTACGAGTATATCCCCAACAGAAATGCGTACATATGTTCACTGAAAGATACATACAAGGACATTGATAGCAGTACTATTCAAAATGGCCCCACACTGGAAACAACCCAAATTTCCACCAACAGTAAAAAGGATAAATAAATTGTAGCATATTTATACAATAAACTATTAGAGCAATGAGAAGGAAAGAACTGTTGTTTCACCTAATAAATGATGAATCTTATAAATATAATGAATGAAAGAAGCCAGGCACAAAAGAGAACATAGTGTATAATTCCATTTTTGCAAATTTCAAAAAACAGGCAAACTAGCCCTATGGTTTTAGAAGTCAGAATAGTGGTTACCAATTTGGGGGGCAGGAGAGACTTTTGTGGTATTGGTGCTGGTTTATTTCTTGTTCAGGGTACTGATTATACAGGTGAAAATTCATTGAGTTGTGTACCTATGCATTTTTTCAGTATGAATATTCTATTACAATAAAATTTTTGCTAATTTTTAAAAACATTGATTTGAAGACTCTAATTTTGAATTGATAAAAGATTCACATTATTACAAATTCAAAAATATAGACGGGAAATATTTAAAAAGTCTCCTTTCCACTTCTATGACCCAGCAGCCATCCAGTTCCCTCACAGGCAGCCAATGATAGATATAAGTATTTTTGTGCATCCTTTTAGAGAGAGATTTTTTTGGATATACAAGCAAATACACACACACACACACACACACACACACACACACACACACACCTGTTCTTTTTTATATATTATATATGGCCTATGGCCTACCTACCCTTTTTAAATGTATGACAGTATTCTGAACACATTATTCTACAGTCTCCTTTTATCGTTTATTTTAAAGGCCTTTCCATATCATACATAAGGAAGGTCCTTATTCCTTCTTACAGCTGCATAATGTCCTATCATATCAATGTTCCATGATTTATTTAACAAATCCCCCCTCTTGATTGGGATTTAGATTTGATTATTTCCAGTTGAGAAACTTTCTTGATCCTGATCTATGTTGTGTGAAATATCTATTTTTCCCAGGCCTCATTTTAACTTTTTAACAGCAGTTTGCACAAGTTGATATGTAGTAAAGCAATACTTTACATGAAAGGAAAAAGTAGAAAAAAAATTGTATTTCTACTTCTCAATTCTTAAAAGGAAGACTATCTAAATAATTACAGAATTTTAAAGCTAGGAGGACTGGAAGAGAACTATTACTGAGTTTCCTTGCAATTGATTTCTTTAAGATTCTGGTGAAAGCTAAGGATTCTCTCAGAAAAATGTGCGCATGTGTAAAAAATTTTGCATATAAATATTGGGGTTTGTAGGCCCCGTGAAATTCCTCAAGAATCTATTATCTAGCGTAACCCCATCAGTTTAAAAATTGGGAAACTGAGGGCCAGGGTGGGAGGCGAATCTCCAAACAAATTAATTGCAGGAGACAGTCACTTGTATTCATGTTAAAGTAATGCCAGCAGTATTCCCTCTCCTTTCATTGGCTGGTGTCAAAGCCAGTCTGGCAAGGGAAGCTGCCCATTCCTTCCCAGGAGAATCTCATTTTGCAGATATGGTATCCTGAGAGAAAAATAGTAAACAAGTTTATATGAAAGATTGATTTATTTTTAATATCAAGATAGTATGATTAGAATTTCCTGTATAACACTTTGATTTTTCTTCTTTCTTTTTTGTTTCCTGTTCAGCCCAAGAAGAAGAAGGCAAAAGTGGAAGTGAGACCCATTAATTTGGGGACAGATTATGAATATGGGGTTTTAAACATTCACCTGACTGCGTATGACATGGCCCTTGCAGAGAATTATGCCCAATATGTTCACAATCTGTGCAATCATCTCTCCATTAAAGTCGAGGAAAGGTATGAAATGTTCTTGGTGTCAGTAGCATGCTCTGCTTTGATGTTGTTAAATGAGGTTTTGAGATGTAATTTACATATTGTAAAATTCACCTTTTACGGATATGGTTTGCCACAATCTAAATACAGAAGACTATTAAACCCCAAATTTCCCTAGTGACCAGGTGTAGTGAGTCTCCTCCCCTGTACCCCCTCAATTCCCTGGCAACCACCAATTGATTTTCTATCCCTGTTTTTTAAAGTTCTCCAGAACATCGTGTAAGTAGAGTCATATACTTTGTAGCTATTTGTGTCTGGCCTCTTTCACTTAGCACAATGCATTTAAGATTCATCCATATTTTTGCAAGTATTTTATTACTGAGCCGTATTCCATTAAATGGTGGACCTTAACTGGCTTATCCATTTACCAGTTGATATACATTTGGATTGTTTCCAGTTTATTGGTTATTATGCATAAAGCTGCTATAAGCATTCTCATACAGGTTTTGTAGGTCATATGTCTTCTCCTGGATACCTAAGACTAGGATTTGGGGTTGTATAGTAAGTGTATGTTTAACTTCATAAGAAACCACCAAACTGTTTTCCAAAGTGGCTGCACTATTTTGTATTCCCACCAGCAACGAAATAGAGTTCCAGTAAGTCCTTAAATTGGTGAGCACTTGATAGCATCAAATTTTTAAAAAGCTATTCTAATATATAGTGCTGTCTCATAGTGATTTAAATTTTCATTTCCCTAATAAATAATGATGTTGAGCATCTTTTCATGTGCTTATTTGCCTTCTGTATATCTTCTTTGATGACATGTTCAAATCTTGTATCTATTTTTAAAATTGGGTTTTTTTTTAAATTACTGAGTTATGAAAGTTTTTAAAATCTATTTTTGGATACTAGTTTTTTTCAGTATGTGTTTTGCAAGTATTTTCTTGCAAAAGAAAATTATCTTATCTTGTCATCTTCTTATCTGAGTCTTTTGGAGAGCAGAAGTTTAAGTTTGATGAAGTTCAATTTATCAAATTTTTTTTTTATTCATGCTCTTGGTGTCATATCTAAGAAATCTTTGCCTAACCCAGATCACAAAGATATTCTCCTATGCTTTCTTCTAGAAATTCTGTAGTTTTAAGTTTTACATTTAGGTCTGTGATCCACTTTGAGTTATTCTCATATATGGTGTGAAATATAGATCTAAGTTTATATATATATAATATATATATAGGTATCCAATTGTTCTAGCACCATTTGTTAAGAAGATTTTCTTCCTCCACTGAATTGTCTTAGCACCTTTGGAAAGTCAATTAACCATGTATATGTAGGTCTATTTCTGTACTCTATTCTGTTACATTAATCTATATATCTATGCTTATACCAAATACCACACTATTTTGATTACTGTAGCTTGATTACTGAAACTACAAATTTGTGCTTTTTCAAAATTATTTTGGCTAGTCTAGTCCTTTGGTTTTTCATAAAAACTTTAGAGTTAGTTTGTTGATTTCTACAGAAAGGAGCCTGATGAAATTTTGTTGGAATTGTTTTGAATCTGTAGATCAACTTGATAATTGCCATTTTATATATTTTAATTCCCCTCATCCATTAATATGGTTTATCTCCCCCATTTATTTAGGTATTCTTTACCTGTTCTGCTTTTCACTTATTCTTTGGTTTTGTTGGAAAACTGTAATGGAGGACAACTAACATTTACTAACTACCTACTCCAGGCCAGGCACTTTGCATATCTTATCTCAGGGTTTCAGAAAGTGTGGAATGTCCTGTGATTTGCTTTAAATAATATGAAATCACATGGTGAGAAATTTCATCTCCTTTTAATTCTCATTCAACCTAATTATGTCAAGGAGAGATTCTTAATGTGGTTCTGGTATGTCCTTAACACCACTCTAGCATTTCCTAATATTTATAACAGAGAAGGGACCTCTGGCTCAGAGTCTTTGGCTAGCACTAGTATCCAGCTAGCATTTTATAACATTGTGGTTTTTTTTCATTGTATTTATTTTTAACTTACTTTTTATTTATGATAGCTGATACTGGTTTTCCATTTATCGTAGTAATATAGAGTCAGGCTTAACAAGATATCATTTACATTCAGTAAAAATTCATGCTCTTAGGGAACAATTTCTGAGTTTTGACAAACGCACACAGTAAATACCATCATAATAAAGATATAGAACATTTCCATCATCCCCAGAAGTTCCCTCCTGACTTTGTTGTCAATCCCTCCCTTACCCCCAGTCCCTGGCAACTACTGACTTATTTTTTGTCCCTATAGTTTTGCCTTTTCCAGAATGTCATGTAAGTGGAATTATACAGTATTTTTCCCTGTGAGTCTGGCTTCTTTCACTTAAGATAATGTATTTGAGATTCATCCATGTTGTTGCCAGGATTAAGTCATTTGTTCCTTTTTGTTGCTGATTAGCATTTCATAGAATGGATATATGCTTGTGTATTCATTCACCAGTTGAAGGACATTTGTGTTGTTTCCAGTTTTTGACAATTATGAATGAAGCCACTATAAACACATATAGGTTTTCGTGAGAACCTAAGTTTTCTAGGAGTGTGATTGCTGGGTCAAATCGTAAGTGGAGTATATGTTTAAATTTATAGGAAGCTGCCAAACTGTTTTCCAAAGTGGCTGTACAATATTTTCTCTCATTAGGAACATGAGTTCCAATTGCTCCACATTTCAAATTTCTTTTTTAAATTAATTTTTAAGTGAATGGATTTAAAGAAAAATATTTAATAAAGACTAGTTTGATTGGTTTGTCACTGTGACAAGATAATACATGGGACAGTGTATGGATATTGGAAAAAGTATACTTTCTTACTCACTAGATAGATATTAGTATATTTCCATTGTACAGATAAGGAAACCAAGGCTCAGAATAGCCAAAAGTCACATAACTAATAAGTTGCCTGGATTTAACCCAGTTCTGCCTGACTCCAATATTTTTAATTATATAGGGTCTTATTTTAAGTCCTTAAGCCAAATTTGAACTTCTGAACCTTTATAACTTAGAGAGTATAACTGTGCTAAATGTGCTATTTGGAAGATTGGATAATAAGGTGTGATTTTAGCTCTCACAGCTGATAGTACTTCAATTGTTTTAAGCCTAAAGATGCGTTTTATCTTTACCTGATGCCCCAGAGAGTTGGTTGCTCAGAGAGTTGGTTGCTCGTTCAGCACTTGGCACATACCTCTATCCTGTCATTTAGTGCTTTGGGCTGTAATGATCTGTTCATGTGTCAGCTCCCCTCCCCACTGTCTAGATGGAGACTGTGTTCTTTATTTCTTAGCACCCAGCACAGGGCCTGCCTGCCACCTGGGGGACATTATGCCATTGTTGAAAGGACAGGTTCTTATATATGATTATACAGTCCAGTTGTGTGGTATACATTTCTTAAAGTTTAATGGCTGCTTTTAATTAACTAATTAAAAACTATGGATTGAGCCTCTTCTTGCTATGGAATAGGCATTTTAGTAGACATTCTGACTATAGGATACGAAGGCGAATGTCCCTGATTTCAGGGAGTGTGATGTATGTGCATGCACACAAACACACAGAAATAATTATAACATAATGTGGAAGGTGGTAGCGAAAGATAAAGTGCAGTGTCAGTTCAAGGAGGCAGAGTGGTATAATAATTTAGAGCAATGCTTCTCAAAGTACCACTCCACGAAGACATCAGAAGCTTATGCCAAAATGTGCATTAATGCTTTGCTTCCTTCATGAAGAAAGTCTTGCTATTGAAAAAAAAAAATGTTGGCTGAATTAAATAGTGTATTTCATCATTGTTGCATGCTCCTTATCTTGTCCTGGACTGATAACTGTGTGCTCACCAGCAGCTTATCTATGACCACACTTTTGAGTAACAGAGTACAAGCTCCAGAATCAAACTGCCTGATTTAAATCCTAGCTCTACCAGTTACTGGCAATGTGACCTTGGGAAATTCTGAACCTCAGTTTCCTCAGCTGTATAATGAGGATGATAATTTTCTTATTTCTTTGAGTTCTGAAAATTAAATAAGATAGTATATGATAGCACTTAGCAGAGAGACTGGCACATTGCACCACTCTAAATAATAATTAATAATGAAGAGATTCCTTGTTTTCAGCTGGAAGGGATTAGGGGAAGCTTCTGAGAAGTTGTGGTGGCAAAGAGGCATTAAATGTCATTCATAGAATGTTATCATACCGACAGTGGATCAACTCCCTGGAATAGTGTTTTAAATTTTCAGAAGGACTTTTTAAAAGGTGCTGTTTTTAAACCTGGCTGTGAAAAGCATTGGCTGCATTTGAGTAAAGGCAGGAAGGCAGTAGCATTTATTGAGCACCTACTATCAGCCAGCCACTCTGCTAAGTACATTTCTGTATAATGCAAAACAAGTTATGTAATTCAAACAAGCACTTTGCACATAGTGAATCAAAGCTTGACTCTGGAGCCAGACCGCCTGTGTTTTACTCATGCTGCATTCTTATTGTGTGGCATTGGGCAGTTTACTTACACTCTTTGTGTCTAAGTTTCCTCATCTATAAAATGGGGTTAATAAAAATACCTACTTAAAAAGGCTATAGTAAAAATTAACGGAATTAATATATTTAAAGTGCTTACAACAGCTCTCAGCAACTCTTGGTTGCCATTATTATTATTATTATTATTATTATTATTATTATTAAAGCAAGGTCTGAACTTGCACTTTTGTTTTCTTTTTTCAAATTCTCAGTTCCTCCTAACTGGTTCTCCATACAGTTTTCAGTGTCATCTTTCTAGAGTGGAAATATCATCATGTCACCCGTGTGCTTGAAATCCTGCCATGGCTTCCCATTCCTTTAGGATCAAAATTAAAGTTCCTTGCATGGCTTACTAGGTGCCCCCATGGCCTAGGCTTGTCTGTCTTGCCTTCACTCATAATTCCCTCTCCGTCTCCCTCCAACTACACTGGCTTTGTTTTTGTCCCTTCCTACCTCAGGACCTTTGCATATGCTCTCTAGAGCTTATAATGCTCTGTCCCCTTCATTTAACTAATCCCTATTGTTTTCTTAGGTTTCATTTTGAATGTCACTTCTTCAGAGACCCTCATGAAGTTAGGTCCTATGTTATATATTTAATTGAAGTGAAGGTTACTTAACTTCCCTTTCATAGCACTCATTTATTAACTCTTGTAATTACTTGAACTTTATTACAGTCTGAAATCTGTAAGGCAAGGATTGTTTGTCTTCATCAGCAGTCTAACCCTACGACCTTGCCTAGTACCTGACACATAGTAGATACTGAATATATATTTGTTGACTTGGATTGAGTTCCAATAGGCATGGACATGATTCCTAGAACAGCAGAATGATATGCTGCTTTTTGCTTCTTTTCATGACTCTCTGCTCCAAATAGCACAGAGCATAAAGAGATGTTTGTTTTCAGCAACTCACTTCTCTGCATTGAGGTTTTTTTTCCAGACCATCGTAGTGCTAGGCATTCTCACTGTCCAGACTTTCAGAGATGAAATGATTTTATTTTCTACTAATTTTCATTTCATCATGATCCTTTTTTCCTCTGCGAGTGGGGGGAAGGGCTCTGACCTTGAGATGACATTGGGCAGGGGAGCAGTGTGCTGGCTTTTGTTCTATAAATGGTTTGCATTGCTGCAGCTGCAACTCACTCAGGAGAGGAGAGGAAGGGGCCTCTTACGCAGGTCCCTTAATTTGCCTGCCTCTCTTGCTGAGCAGTTGCCTGGACAGATGGAAATCTTATTCATCTGGGAGAAGCTTCCCAGCCTAAAGCTGATCTAGCCCCTTGCTCTGTGGAGAGTAAAAGCATCACTCTGTGTAAGGCTACTCATTCCTTTTTTTGTTTGTTTTAAGTCCACTTACATTGTTTGAAGTGTATGTATAACTTATATATAGTAGAGTCCACAGATCTAAGTTCCCTAGCACCCCAGCAAGCTCCCCTTCTGTCCCATCTCAGGCAGTACTCCCAAAAGGCAGCATTATTTTGTCATGTTAGGTTGACTCTTGAAATTCCATTATTTCATTTCTTCCCTTCTGTTTTCACTGTGATCATCCAAGTAATGTTTATTGTAGAAAACTTGGAAAGTACAGAAAAGTGTAGACACTAAAGGAAAATGACCTGTACTCTTATCTATTCTACTTTGAAATGACCAGAGTTCCCAATATTTATTTATCAAACTATGTCTGGTTTTTCTGTCGGTTCTCTTTGAGGGCCTCTCATGCCTCCTTGCCTTTGTAGATAACCGCTGCACTTTTTTGGAATGCCCTCTGGGCTAACACCTCTGTTTACTCTTTATATCTTGATAAAGCACTACCTCACCTATGAAGCCTTCCCTGGGCCCCCCTTCTCGACCTCTTGTCCCTATAATATTTGGTACATACCTATTTTTGCCTTTGTCTTACTGTAGTGAAGATGTTGGTCTACTCACCTGTCTCTGCAAAACACTCTTGGCTCCTTCAAAGCTTAGGCTGCATATCGCCCACCAGAGTGCCTAGGACAGAACAGGCTCTCAGTAAATGTTTGTTGAATGAATGAATGAATGAATGAATGAATAAACAAATCAATGAAATCTTGCTAAAGTCTTGAAAAATAAAATGTATGCTCAGTGGCAGGAATGGACAACTCCCACTTTGGTCAGTCTTATCTGCAGAGTGTCAAAAAGGAAAAATAGCACTTTAGAGTGCTTTATACTTTTCTAAAAGCTTTTACATACTTATTTTACTTGATATTCCATAACAAGTCTATGAATGTGTCTTTTTTTTTTTTCATACAGGGAAGTTACTACCAGATTTGAATTGGAAGAGGAGATCATAGATTATGCTGAAAAATAGGAGGGAATGTTATTTAGGGAGGTTGCCTGGAAGTTTTGCAATACCTACCATTTAACTCACTGTTTATAAGAGCAAGGGAACTGGAATATGTAGGCATAGTATGCGAGGCAAATTTATCTCACTTAATCATTGCAACAACCCCATGAACTAAGTATTATTATGCTAATTTTATAGCTGAAGAATCTGAGACTCAGAAAGCTGTTAATTTTTCCAAGGTCAAATAGGTAATAAGTGGCAGAAGCAACATTTAAATCCAGAACTGACTGTCATGTCTCTAATCCATTTTCTATTATACCAAACTTCCTTTTGTAGCTATCCATGTGTAGAGGGTCATGCCCCCTGCTATTAATTAATGAAGCTTTGTGTAGCATGAAAACTCAGGAATTCTACTGCTATTATTATTCCATTTATCTTTAGTTTGATTAGCTTTTTGATAAGATAAACATAATACTAATACCATATTACTAGATAGCCATTAGTCCTATCTCATCACCATACCTGATACTCACAATAATCTACTGATACAGGCCTAGATTGTAATCCTGTTTATACATGAAGAAACTGAAGCACAGGGGGAAGTGACTTGCCTTAGTAAATATTGCTAGTAAGTGGCAGAGCCAAGATTTGACCCCAAATCCAGTTTTCTTTTCACTGAAGCATGTAGGTCTGCTGACGTTGATTATAGGAAGCACAGCCTCTACAACAGTGGTTCTCAACCTGGGGACATTTAACAATGGTCTGGAGATCATTTTTGATTGTCACCACTTGGGGAGAACTACTGGCATCTGGTGGGTAGAGATTAGGGATGCGTAGGCCAGCCCCCTGCAACAAAGAAATATCTGGTCTAAAATGTCAGTAGTGCTGAGGGTGAGAAATTCTGCCCTAAAACAATTGGGTTTCAGGTGTCATTTCTCCAGAAGCGGGGAAATACCCAAAGCGAGTCTCCAAAGCGTACCTAGGAATGAGCTTGATGCTTTTTTGCATGTGTTATTTTAGGGATATTATGATTTTTTAAAAAATTCGTTTCAGGTGTACAAAGCAATGTAATAGTTAGACATTTACACCTCTCACAAAGTGATAACTCCTCCCCCACCCCACCCAGTCTACTACCTGACATCGTATATAGCTGCTACAGTATGAGCTTGATTCTTTTAGAATTGGCTATTCTTTAGTAGCAGCAAATACTTACTAATCACCAGGTTTTATTCAGAGTGTTATATTAGGCAAGACTGGGGATGCAGAAAGGCATTAGACATGGTCTGTCCCCTCAGGGAATTCAGAGACCTCTTGAGGAGGTTTAAGAAGATCTGGTTATGTTGCCCTGGCTGCAGAGAACAGCCCTAAGTTCCAGGAGCCCTGCATGCAGTAGTGGCTGTACTCAGGGACTATCCTGACTGGAGTGGTGCTGCTGGCTTGAAAGAAGCCTCCCCATAGCTGACTTTTCCTTCCCACAGCTATGCGATGCCCACCAAAACCATGGAGGTGTTGCGACTGCAGGACCAAGGCAGCAAAATGTTCCTGGACTCAGTTCTTACCACCCATGAGCGAGTGGTTCAGGTAGGCACTCAAGGAGAAACTTGAAAGGTAGCTGCCTCTCCTGGTTCTTCTCTCTATCCATTTCCCTTCTCCTTCCATGCTTGTCTTTTCCTCTTGCCTGCCCCTTGAATGATGATATTCTCCAAGTCTCGTTCTTGACCCCTCTATCTCTCCTTGTGTAATACCTTCCCTTTATGCCATCCTGCCACCTGTTGGCAGCTCAGCAGCAGCTCAGCTCAGGCTGTGAATCGAACCAGTGACCCTGTTGCTCAGAGCTCACACTCTTGAGTGAGCTCTTAACCAACTGAGCCACTCAGCCGGCTCTGCATCACCCCCATTTTTTTATAAAGATTTTTATTGGGGAATTGGGGGATGGAAACAGTGCTGGGGAATTGGGGAAGGGGAACAGACAAGTTGCTGTCATTTTGTTCTTCAATCTAGTTGTGGAGGACGTTGCTTCACTGGCCCAAGCTGGC